AGATGCAACTGAGTGGCAAGGAAACAACAGCTCCCATGGAGTGTCATGGGGAAAGAAAAAAGGGAAAACGGTTTAAAAACCTAAAAAAGGGGCTAAGGGCTCCACAAGCAAGCGGTTAACAAGGACCCCCACTTTTCATCCCCTAAACCCCTTAAAAAAGGGGCTAAGGGCTCCGCAAGCAAGCGGTTAACAGGGACCCCCACTTTTCATCCCCTAAACCCCTGTCCCTTTACTTCTGTACACATAGAGGCCCTTGTGTAAATTCCATGAAACTTGCAGTTCTTCATCATAACCGTCTGACATTGCAGGGCCCCAACCCTAAGCTCAAACCCCTCCTAACTGTGCAGCTTGCCACTGTCTGGGGATGGGTGGAATAGCAATGTGCAACACAAATCTACTGGTATCCTACCGTCTTCATCCGAATAGAACGCCCAGTCATTATAGCTGTATTTGGCACAACTTTCGGTCCAGATGCGGCGATGATAATGACCAGGCGTTCTTCTCGCTTGAACACAGCAGGGTCTTAAATTCTATTCATATTCCAGTCTCTAAACCCCTCGTCTAAAAAACCCTCGTCTCAAAACCCCTCGTCTCAAAACTACTATGGTAGGCTTTAAAGTTTCAACAACTAGGGTGTAAAGTTCTCACTATCTTCTTCTTCTTTCTTTCTTTTCTTTTCTTTTCTTTCTTTCTTTCTTTCTTTCTTTTTTTTTTTTTTTTTTTTTTTTTTTTTACTATCTAATTCTATTTTTGCAGAAAGGCTTTGTGTGGTGGGTCTTTAGACCCTAAGCTTTTGGTGAAGCGCCTCCTGAGCAATAATCCTGTATCTCTGAGCAAGGGTCTTAAAAAACAAGTCCTTTTTTCTGAACCCTAGGATCCCAAAACTTTGACTAAAGCCCTCATTGAGATCCTAGGGTTACAGACAGCTGGTTTAAGGGAAGGAAGGGATTCTTTGAATTCTTTCTGGTTGTTTTGTGATGGCGCCTCCAATTTCGGTTGAGGTTTAAAAATGCAGTTGTAGACCTGTCTGTCGTATGCGACTGCTCTGGATGTGTTCTTTTGTGATATTGTGAATACGCGGATACGGATTTAAAAAAAAAAAAAAAAAAAAAAGGGGATTGGGTGTGTGTGTGGTTATAGGTTGCGTGATCGCATCAGCTAACATCAGATGAGGGATGGGAAATTGGTTGTTCTTTCTGTCCGAAAATTTTCTCTTATGCCTCCGGTTATGGGACCGATTTTTTGTGGTCCCACGAGATGTTGCGGTGCGTTTTTTTTGCGAATTGGACGTGTGCATGCTTGCCGTTCTTGTCGATTGTGATGCGGCCCGGCCGTCAGGGTTCCAAACGGTCACCTATGTTCTCAAGGTATGTTGCCCTTTCTTTTTTTTTTTTTTTTTTTTATTTTTTTTATTATTATTATTAATGAATTCGGACCATTTCCTCCATTTATGCGAGTCATCCTTTGCGCAGGGGCCTGGGCCGACTAGCACTCGTTTTAAACGTGAGACAGTGCTGCGTGACCCGCTTTTGGCATTAAAAAAATGGTTTCTGCAGTTTTTTCAGATTAAAAAAACTCTCTTTCTTCTCGATAAAGAAAGCAAAACTCAGCTTGGGGTGCTCCTGTCAGCCAATGGGATGGGAGCCGTCGAATTCATCGCCTCTTTTTCTGGAGGCATGCTGGACTCAGCTTAGGGTGCTCCCGTCAGCCAATGGGATGGGAGCCGTCGAATTCATGGCTGCGTCCAGCACTTCGTACACACCACTTCGTTTTTCTCTTCTCAAGACGTGAAGTACTGTAGCAGGGATGCGTTTTCGCCCCCCCCCCTCAGAAAGCTGTGAAAACGCATAGCTGCTACAGTGATTTTGAATTTAAAGAAAAAGAAGAAA